TTCAAATATCCTTACAAACGATACACCTATGTATATATATTATATTATGTATATTTATTCATGAACATACTATCATATATATATAAAAAGATATCTTTTATAATAATAATAATGTGTGGTTTTCTTGTGATAAGTGAATTGGATGTATGAAGTCCATCAAAAATCTTATTACGAAGAAGGGCGATGAAGTCAAACTTCAATCTATCAGTGTTTTACAAATGCTCTTTCAAAAGATATCGAGACATATTTTATGTACACATTGTAAAGAATGATACAAATAATTATATCTCTCTAGATAATATTAACTGTACACTTTTGATACATTTATTATTCATTAATATATTATTTTAATTGATTAATATTTGTAAACTCATATCACAAACCCAAACAAACCATCTTCTCACGTCCACTACCGAAACGTTCCTATCGTGAGTGTCGAATTCAAATTGGAAGCTCCTCCAATGTCCGATAACCACGGCCAAGGCTAGTCTGATAGTGGCAAAAGACGGGTCCGACAACTATACAAGTGAGTCCGAGGTTGTATCGACAGCGACGAAGCTCTGCACCGGAAAGAGATTCATCATGTATATGAAACTCGGGGTGTACAAGGAGTAAATCGAGATAAGTACCTCTATGAAGAACATGATGTTGGTCGGCAATGACAACGGGATTGATTCTGCAATCATCACCGACAATAAAAACTTTAGAGACGACGAGCTAATGTTTCGATTTACAAGTTTTGATAAATTTACTATATTAAAATCAAATTATAAAATCAATAAACAAAAATAAGAATATCGAAAGAAATTAACTTCACATATATGGTTATATAATATGTATATATAAACTATTATAACCTAGAATATATAACTATAGATATCTATGTATATATATGTGTACATATGATATTATAAATAATAACCGAAATATGTATACATTGCAAATAATGATGCACATATATATCTTTCTTTATAGTATCATTTGTACACTTTTGGTACATTTATTATTCATTAATATAATATTTTAACTGATTAATATTACATGTAAATTCAAGTATTGGATTCGAACACAAGATATTTGATTTGAGAGTAGATTGTTTTCGGGTATGAAACTATATATTTATATTACGATCTAGGTTTCGAGCTATTTTAGGGCAAACATCACATTGAAATTTAAAAAGAAAGAAAAAAGAAAGAAACAAGAGATAAAATCATATACTAGTTTTTATGGACGAACGTGTAAAATGAGCTTCACAAACAACATAATAAAGTCAAAGGCCCTCGTCGAACGCCACCCAGTGGCTGGAACCCAAGAGTTCCCCGCCAAGAAGCTGTCGTGGTCAAGACGTGAAAGCCAGACCACTTCGCTCTGCCAGAGATGTTAGCTCCAGGGTCATAGTTCATGTACTCTGCATAGTAGATAGTAGGGAGAGCGAAGTCTTCATCCCATGACAACCATCCGACGGGATTCACCATACCACCGAGAAAGCATTTCTTGAATACAGTTCTCGAGTACTTACGCCACGGCCGCCCCAGGTACGCCGCGGTGGATGATGATTCCCGTGTGCTCGTCGGGCTCTCGCAGGAATGAGCGGTGATCGTATTCTTCTAGCCCTTCATGGGACGTCGGAGATATATGTTGCATCTCTGGAAGACAGCGATTGTCTTTCCAAATATGAAGTCAACGATTCCGTGAATGTCGCAGTTACGGTAGAATTGGAGGTTGGCGTGGACATAGAAGGTGTTTTGGTACCCTTTGAAAGAGCATCAATAGTACACCGACATGTTCGAGCTCGACCTCATCGCCACCGCTTGCTCCTTCTTGCTCCTTCTCGGATCCGCCGTATTCTCAAATGTTATGTCTCTTGTCGTGCCATCAGAGTCTATACCCGTACCTATTGTATTATCCTCTATCTTATTTTTGCTTTTAGCATAATTAACTTACCGAAAGTTGCGGAATCGAACGTCTTCACGCCGTCACTGGAGTTTTTGTTGCCAGTGATTGTTGTAGCATGAATCCCGTCACCTACCAACATTATGTTCGGCATGGAGACGTCGATGTACTCCTTGTACAGTTCGGTTTTGATATGTATCACAAACCTCTTCCCGCCAGAGAGCTTCTTCGTCGCCGCTAAAGCCTCCAATAGACTTGTGTAGTTGTCGGAGCCATCCTTGGCAACTAGAGATTGGCCTTGGCCGTTGCCGGATTTTTTAGGAGCTTACAGTCTGCATATGACACCCACATTGGGAATTTCTTGGATGGTTACTTTGGGTTTGAAGTATGAGAATGGAGATCATGAGCATCAAACGAAAAATGAAGTTGGGGGCTAATTTTATTTGGTTTGCTGAGAGACTGTTGGTGTGAGATGATTTTGATTTGAATATCATAGTATATATAGGGAGAGATGCGTATGTGAACATGCAATGTGAACGCATACATTTGGTAAATTTCCTTTATAATGTATGAACATATTATATTGAAGGTTACATCTTATTTTAGAGAAAAAAATAACCCTAGAGTGGACCCAAGATTAAATTACTTACCATAACAAAAACCATATTATTATTATTATTATTATAAAATATGTCTTTTATACATATATGGTCATGTGTTCATGAATAGATATATGTATAATATAATATATATACATAGGTGTATCGTTCCTTATATATAGCTTAGGTCCTAAATTATTTGAGAAAAATGAAAAATATATTCTTATGTAGAATGAAGAAGATAATAATAATTGAATTTTTTTGTTGTGTAAGGTGAATTTTATAAAATTAATAAACTGTAGATAATATTAACTGTACACTTTTGGTACATTTATATTCATTAATATATTATTTTAATTGATTAATATTTGGAAACTCATATCACAAACCCAAACAAACCATCTCCTCACGCCCACTACCGAAACGTTCTCATCGTTGGTGTCGAATTCAAATTGGAAGCTCCTCCCATGTCCAATAACCACGGCCAAGGCCAGTCTGTTAGTGGCAAAAGACGGGTCCGACAACTATACAAATGTGTCCGAGGCTGTATCGACAGCGCTCTGCACCGGAAAGAGATTCATCATGCATGTGAAACTCGGGGTGTACAAGGAATAAATCGAGATAAGTGCCTCTATGAAGAACATGATGTTGGTCGGCGATGACAACAGGATTGATTCTACAATCATCACCAGCAATAAAAACTTTAGAGACGACGTGTTAATGTTTCGATTTATTACTTTTGATAAATTTACTATGTTAAAAATCAAATTATAAGATCAATAAACAAAAATAAGATAGCGAAAGAAATTAATTTCACTTATATGGTTATATAATATGTATATATTGTTGGTTTAGGTGTTCTATATGTTGCTTTACGATATGAGTACCCTGACATTTTATATTGACAGGGTACTTATATCGTGGAGGAATATGAAATTTTCTCTATTATAAATAATAATTGAAAGATGTATACATTGCAAATAATGATATATATATATATATACTTTCTATATAATATCATCCGTACATTTTTTGTACGTTTGTTATGTAAATTTATTTTTGTGATTGGTAGAGTAGAATAACTTTTGAAAGAGAGATGTAATTTTTATGATGAAAGAAACTTAATTTCATTGACTTTTAATATAGATATTTTAAATATGATTTTTTTTTAAAAAAAAAAGATGGTGTATATAATTAATTATTATCATTAATGAATGTAAAATAATTGAATAAGTACCATTTGATTGTAGCACATATATCTATACATACCTATGAATATATATATATACACGATATTATAAATAATAATTGAAAAATGTACACGTTACAGATGCACATATATATCTTGCTATATAATATCACATATACACTTTTGATACTATTTAGTATTTACCATTCATAACTCTATTTTTGTGATTGGTAGAATAGAATAACTTTTGAAAGAGATGTAACTTTTTGGATGAAAGAAACTTATTTTCATTAATTTTTAATATAGATATTTTAACCGTAATTTTTCTTAAAAAAAATAGACGGTGTATATAATAATTACCATGCATGTCAAAATCCATTTGACACCATTTTTTTTTTGGTTAAACATTTGACACCATTTAACAAAATAAAATTTCTTTTTTGATAAATTTGGCCAACAACCAAGAAATATATAAAACTAAAAAAAATAGCAAAAAGAAGCATATGCAATATTTAAAACAAGTCGAACCCAAACAAAAATATAAAATATTCCTATTGGTGGTATCATAGTATATATCTGTATTTATTAATTTCAAGTTTTTGTAGTATCACACATCTTTTGTTATATATATACGCGATGAAAAAACTGAAAGTTATTGAAAGTCATCTCTTTTCATTGGAAAAGTGTATAATATTATAAATAATAATTAAAAGATGTCCACAATATTTTAAATAATGATATATGTACCAAAAGAGTACATATAATATTATAAATAATAATTGGAAGATGTATATACACTTGGACTTATTAATTACATCCACGTACGTCACTTATATATAACAAAAGATCTATAATACTACAAAAACTTGCCGTCGTGGGTTTCATATCCTGTTCGAAAGTTTTTGGAAATCTCGACAACGAACGGTCAAAATCGATCTTGTGGTGGGAAAGGATGGGTCCAACCATTACAGGAGTATCTGGGAGATTGTAGCGGCGGAGATAAAGCTCGCCGGAAAGAGGTTTGTGGTATACGTGAGAGTAGACGTTTACAAAGAAAATGTGGAGATCCACAAAGAACCTGATGTTTGTCAGCGACGGTATTGGTTCTACGATAATCACCGGTAATACCAACCTCAGAGACGATGCGTCCACAAGATCTGGCTTTGGCCGTTGTTGCCGACTTTTTCAAAAATTTCAGACTCGGGATACGAAATTTATAAGTTTGGAATGAATTTTGTGCATTTTCCAGACGAGCGACATTATATATTTGTATTCTGTATATATATGTATACATACATATATACACATATATACGTAGGTGTGCTACATACAAGTGCTTTCTACAACCACTGTTCAAACCCACCTCTGGGTATCAGTATTATAAAAAAGAACAAGTAAATTAGTCTCTCTTATTTGAATTTCAGAAAATTTAGGTCAAAACCGCAAATATGTTTTGGAGGGTTTACGTGATACCTCTGTCTATGAATACAACCATCAAGGTTTTGATCAAAAGGAAAAGGGATTACTCTCTGGCTGTTGATCTTTATTCTTTTGTCGTGCCAAATAACAATGTCTTGTCTCATCATCATCGCCATCACTGACATGGCATCAGGCATGGGACTAGAGCCAGGCAGGGTTGGTGAGGGGAGTAACAACTGCCTTGACTTGCAAGTAATTATTGAGACTGTAGATTCCCTTCTCTCGTCCGAAGCCACTCATCTTATACCCTCCGAACGGAACAGAGGCATCGAACACATCGAAGCAGTTTATCCACACACTCCCAACCCTCAGTGCCCTCATCAGCCTATTCGCCGTGTCCAGGTTCTGCGTGAACACCCCTGCTGCTAGCCCGTACCTCGATTTATTCGCCCTCCTTATCGCCTCATCAAGATCCCTGATATATTTTTAGACCATTTCAGAATGCCATAGAACAAGTTGCCTGCTGCTATTTAGAAGAGTTTCATGTGAATCTTACTTGAATTTCAGAATGGACTGAACAGGTCCAAAGATCTCATCATTTGCGATCAGCATCTCATCCTGCCATTCATTCCCATGTTAACTGGTCACGATGATGTTTGAGTTTAACAGGCCCAAAGAGGTTTTTTTTTTACCTTCACATCCGAGAAAACGGTGGGTTGGATATAGTATCCCTTGGAACCAAGTTGGTCTCCTCCAGCTTGGAGAGTGGCTCCACTCTCAATGCCTGATCTTATGTACTTCAATATCTTCTGAAACTGTTCTGAGTCCACCTGTTTTGTCCACCACAAAATCCAAACCCCTTCATATCTTCTGAAATTGTTCCCAGTCTCAACTGTGATTGATATGGTTCACATGTAGAGTCAGAACATGTTTTACCTGAGGACCTTGCTCGATGCCCGCCTTGAAAGGATCGCCGACAGCACGTTTGATAGCCCGAGCTTTTGCTTTCTCTACGAATTCATCATACACACGCTCATGTACGAACGTGCGTGAGCCGGCACAGCAGCATTGTCCCTACAAGTAAAGTTAACCAGATTAGATTGATGGCTTATATAAGCTTTGGGTAAAGTTTTGAATTGACCTTTACCTGGTTAAAGAACAGAGCGAAGTGGGCAAGCTCAACAGCCTTATCTACATCAGCATCTTCACATACGATGAATGGCGACTTTCCCCCCAGCTCCAGAGTCACTTGCTTAAGATTGCTTTTGGCAGCCAACTCAAGAACAACCTTTCCCGTTTCGGTAGAACCCGTAAAAGCTACCTGCAGAGGTTTGATAGATTTCTTTAGAGGGCTGGAAACATGTTGAACAGAATGTTCTGCATCTCATTGGCGTGGAGGTAACACTGTTAGTATATGGTTAAATACCAATTGCTGATTTGATATACACTCCATGGAGCAGCTTACCAAGAAACTAGAAAAACCTTTCATGGGGCTGACATATAACATTCACAGATCATACGAAGAGTGTGAGAAGGGTTTCTTCATCACCTTATCGATATCCATGTGACTAGCGATGGCTGCACCAGCCGTCGGACCAAATCCAGAAATTATATTTACAACACCAGGGGGAAGTCCAGCCTGTCAGAGAAATCGGATCAATGGAGATGTGTATAACTTGAAAAGTTAACTGAGGAAAGTAAAAATGGATCAGCCCATCAGATCTAACCTCATGAAGAAGTTTCCCTGCGTAGAGAGCAGACAGAGGAGTCTGCTCGGCTGTCTTGAGGACAACGGTGTTTCCACATGCTAATGCAGGTCCTAGTTTCCATGCGAGCATTAGAAGAGGAAAATTCCAAGGGATGATCTGACCAGCGACCCCTATTGGTTCGTGGAGAGTCTGCACATGGTGCGGACCATCAGCTGGAACCGTCAGACCATGGATCTTGTCTGCCCAACCTAAGAAACTCATCAAGAACACGCACCCAAATTGTATGAGAAGGGAATGGTTACAATAACATGTATACAATAGTTTGTGACTGTATTACCCACCGGCATAGTATCGGAAAAGACGTGCGAGCATTGGCACTTCGATCTTGGCAGATTGTTCGTAAGGTTTTCCGTTATCCCATGTCTCGAGTGCTGCGATCTCATCGTTGTGTTTTTCGATCAAATCAGCAAAACGCAGTAAGATCTTGGACCTTTCCTGAATAAGGACAGAACACAAAGTCAAGTTAAAAGCAACAGCCAAAGGATGGTCTAGAGATATATATGCACAAGATGTAAGTGGTTACATAAGCAGTCATTCTAGGCCACGGTCCCTCATCAAAGGCCTTACGAGCAGCCGAAACCGCTCGGTTCACGTCCTCAGAGTCACCCTCGGCCACATGAGAGATCACTTCCCCTGTTCTCGGGTCCAATGTAGTGAAAGTTTT